TAGCTACGAGGCATTGTCCCCAACTGTCTAACTCTGAAGCTAAGAGGGTCAAACCTTGTTAATACTTGGATGGGGATCATCTGGGAAGTCAAAAGCTATAGGCTAGATGGAAAACTAGGGGGAAAAATGTAAAATGAGCAGTGGTGATGTATTTCTCTATTGTTCCAAGTGAACTGCATGGATGAGTCTGTATTACTCCCTAGCAGTTGAGCTTGACTTGAAGGAAACGTTAATGTTGTTTTAATTTTCCAAATGCTATTCTTTATTTTTATAAGGTTACAAAATTTAAACAGAATACCAAAACACAACAATGACAAAATCAAACTAAACCATCCAAGCAGTAAGAATAGTAATAAAAGGAAGGAAGGAAAAAGACACCCCCCCACTAGACCCTAACACTATTTAACAAATTACAATACAAAAAGATTAGGGTCGAAACTAAAGATGTATTGTATATGTTGTACTTGTAGATAGTCACTGATTTACCAAAAAACAAAAAACCCAACCTTATAATATATTATAATCAGATAAAAAAGGGAAATTACCTAATGATAGAGTGGTATCATTGTAAAACATCATAAAATATCATAAAATCTATGCCAAAGAAGAACACATTGCTCCATCCTTTGATTGGGAAACTCTATTTTTATTTGGGGTGAAAATGTTCCATAGAAGGTGAATGGGTAGAACTTTGGAAGGGCTTGGAGCCCATCACATCTTCAGCCACAGCCCTGTCCAACCCTGTCGTGGCCCTTTCAGGGCTTTCCAACCGCGTCAGGAAGAGCTGGATACCAAGTCAAGATGGAAGATGATTGAGTTTCCTCCTGTGACCTTGGGGGCTTTGCCTCCAACCTCAGAGACACAAATAATCCCAGGCATAGGATTACAGCCTTAGTGACAATCAGCCTCACTGCTCTGGAATAAACAGACGAAGATTGATTAGTCATGTACTGCAACTTTAAGAATGCACATTCCTTACAACTCTTACATTTACCTACAGATGAAAGTCAGGAGGAGTCTGGTGTCACCGTTTTTGACCAGCACATGTCATTAAAAGGGATAAACTTCTGTGACCTGTAGCTGACTTCATCAGATGCACAGAGTGGCTAAAATGATGTAAAATTTAAATTGGATTGAGATGGGAGGGAGGGAGGGCAGGGGAAGGCAGCTTGGCTAGGCAGATGTAGATTTATACTAGAGAAACAGATGACAAGTACTTTACGAATTAGCAATTGCTATGTGTTAAAAAACCATGTGTTCGTTGAGTCTGAAACCTTACGATGTATTTGGGTTCAACAGTTGTTCAATCATGTTGTTCAAGTCTTGTTTTTCCAAAATGGTTACTCTGAGATCTGTAATGGAGTGTCCTGGGAAACTGAAGTGCTCAGACATTGTTTTGACCTGGTTTTAAATCCTGATGTGAAAGTTGGGCCCAAGTTTGTCGTCGTCATCATTGTAACTGTGAACG